AACGGGGGCACTGGAAAATCCGGGTTCGGAGGGTGCGATTGGTTTTGTGGGGGTTCCGCCAGTTTTGGGGTTCCGCCAGTTTTGTGAGGATTCCGCCAGTTTTGTGGGTTCCGCCAGTTTTGTGGGGGTTCCGCCAGTTTTGTGGGGGTTCCGCCAGTTTTGTGCCAGTTTTGTGGGGGTTCCGCCAGTTTTGTGGGGGTTCCGCCAGTTTTTTTTTGGGTTTCGCCAGTTTTGTGGGGGTTCCGCCAGTGTTGTGGGGGTTCCGCCAGTTTTGTGGGGGTTCCGCCAGTTTTGTGGGGGTTCCGCCAGTTTTGTGGGGGTTCCGCCAGTTTTGTGGGGGTTCCGCTTGTTTTGTGGGGGTTCTGCCAGTTTTTTGGGGGTTCCGCCAGTTTTGTGTGGGCCAGTTTTTTTGGGGTTTCGCAAGTTTTGTGGGGGTTCCTGCAGTTTTGTGGAGAGTTCCGCCAGTTTTGTGGGGGTTCCGCCAGTGTTGTGGAGGGTTCCAGCAGTTTTGTGGGGGTTCCGCCAGTTTTGTGGGGGTTCTGCTAATTTTGTGGGGGTTCCGCCAGTTTTGCAGTTTTGTAGGGGTTCCGCCAGTTTTGTGGGGGTTCCGCCAGTTTTGTGGGGGTTCTGCTAGTTTCCGCCAGTTTTGTGGCGCCAGTTTTGTGGGGGTTCCGCGAGTTTTGTGGGGATTCCATCAGTTTTGTGGGGGTTCTGCCAGTTTTGTGGGGGTTCCGTTTTGTCAGTTTTGCGGGGGTTCTGCCAGTTTTGTTTTGTGGGGGTTCCGCCAGTTTTGTAAGGGTTCCGCCAGTTTTGTGGGGGTTCTGCTAGTTTTTTAGGGTTCCGCAAGTTTTGTGGGGGTTCCGCCAGTTTTGTGGGGATTCCATCAGTTTTGTGGGGGTTCCGCCTGTCTTGTGGGGGTTCTGCCAGTTTTGTGAGGGTTCCGCCAGTTGTTTTGGGGGTTCCGTTTTGTGGTTTTGTGAGGTTCTGCCAGTTTTGTGGGGGTTCCGCCAGTTTTGTGGGGGTTCTGCCAGTTTTTTTTGGGTTCCGCCAGTTTTGTGGGGGTTCTGCCAGTTGTTTTGGGGTTCCGCCAGTTTTGTGCCGCCAGTTTTGTGGGGGTTCCGCCAGTTTTGTCCATCGGTCTTTTTTGGGTTTCGCCAGTTTTGTCGGGGTTCCGCCAGTTTTGTGGGGGTTCTGCGTGTTTTTAAGGTTCCGCCAGTTTTGTGGGGGTTCCGCAAGTTTTGGTGGGGGTTCTGCGGGGCTTCTGCCAGTTTTGTGGGGGTTCTGCCAGTTTTGTGGGGGTTCCGTTTGTGGGGGTTCCGCCAGATTTGTGGGGATTCGATCAGTTTTGTGGGGATTCCGCCAGTTTTGTGGGGGTTCCGCAAGTTTTGTGGGGGTTCCGCCAGTTTTGTGGGGGTTCCGTTAGTTTTGTGAGTGTTCTGCCAGTTTTTTTGGGGTTCCGCCAGTTTTGCCAGTTTTGTAGGGGTTCTGCCAGTTTTGTGGGGGTTCCGCCAGTTTTGTGGGGGTTGTGCCAGGTGGGGGTTCCGCTGGGGGTTCTGCCAGTTTTGTGGGGGTTCCGCCAGTTTTTGTTGGGGTTCCGTTTTGTAGGGGTTCCGCCAGTTTTGTGGGGGTCCCGCCAGTTTTGTGGGGGTTCCGCCAGTTTTGTGGGGGTTCCGCCAGTTTTGTGGGGCTTCCGCCGGTTCCGCCAGTTTTGTGGGGGTTCCACCAGTTTTGTGCCAGTTTTGTGGCCGCCAGTTTTGTGGGGGTTCCGCCAGTTTGTGGGGATTCCATCAGTTTTGTGGGGGTTCCGCCAGTTTTGTGGGGGTTCCGCTCGTTTTGTGGGGTTCCGCCAGTTTTGTTGGGGTTCTGCCAGTTTTTTTGGGGTTCCGCCAGTTTTGTGGGGGTTCCGCTTGTTTTGTGGGGGTTCTGCCAGTTTTTTTTGGGTTCCGCCAGTTTTGTGGGGGCCGCCAGTTTTGTGGGCCAGTCTTTTTGGGGTTCCGCCAGTTTTGTGGAGGGTTCCAGCAGTTTTGTGGGGGGTTCCGCCAGTTTTGTGAAGGTTCCGCCAGTTTTGTGGGGGTTCTGCTAGTTTTGTGGGGAGTTTTGTGGGGGTTCCGCCAGTTTTGCAGTTTTGTAGGGGTTCCGCCAGTTTTGTGGGGGTTCCGCCAGTTTTGTGGGGGTTCTGCTAGTTTCCGCCAGTTTTGTGGCGCCAGTTTTGTGGGGGTTCCGCCAGTTTTGTGGGGATTCCATCAGTTTTGTGGGGGTTCTGCAAGTTTTGTGGGGGTTCCGTTTTGTCAGTTTTGGAGGGGTTCTGCCAGTTTTGTTTTGTGGGGGTTCCGCCAGTGTTGTGGGGGGTTCCGCCAGTTTTGTGGTGTTTCTGCAAGTTTTTTTTGGGTTCCGCCAGTTTTGTGGGGGTCGCCAGTTTTGTGGGGATTCCATCAGTTTTGTGGGGGTTCCGCCAGTTTTGTGGGGGTTCTGCCAGTTTTGCGAGGGTTCCGCCAGTTTTTTTTGGGGTTCCGTTTTGTGGTTTTGTGGGGGGTTCTGCCAGTTTTGTGGGGGTTCCGCTTCTGCCAGTTTTGTGGGGGTTCCGCCAGTTTTGTGGGGGTTCCGCCAGTTTTGTGCGGATTCCATCAGTTTTGTGGGGGTTCCGCCAGGTTTGTGGGGGTTCCGCATGTTTTGTGGGGGTTCTGCCGGTTTTGTGGGGGTTCCGCCAGTTTTGTAGGGGGTTCTGCCAGTTTTGTGGTTCTGCCAGTTATTTTGGGGTTCCGCCAGTTTTGTGGGGGTTCCGCTAGTTTTGTGGGGGTTCCGCCAGTTTTGTGGGGGTTTTGCCAGTTTTGTGGGGGTTCCAGCAGTTTTGTGGGGGTTCCGCCAGTTTTTTGGGGGTGCCGCCAGTTTTGTGGGGATTCTGCTAGTTTCCGCCAGTTTTGTAAGGGTTCCGCCAGTTTTGTGGGGGTTCCGTAGTTTTGTGGGGGTTCCAGCAGTTTTGTGGGGGTTCTGCTAGTTTTGTGGGGGTGGGGGTTCCGTTTTGCAAGTTTTGTGAGAATTCCGCCAGTTTTGTGGGGATTCCAGCAGTTTTGTGGGGGTTCCGCTAGTTTTGTGGGGGTTCCAGCAGTTTTGTGGTTCCGCCAGTTTGTGGGGTTCCGCCAGTTTTGTGGGGGTTCCGCCAGTTTTGTGGGGGTTCCGCCAGTTTTGTGGGGGTTCCGCCCGTTTTGTGGGGGTTCCAGCAGTGTTGTGGGGGTTCCGCCAGTTTTGTGGGGGTTCCGCCCGTTTTTTGGGGGTTCCGCCAGTTTTGTGGGGGTTCTGGTTCTGCAAGTTTTGTGGGGTTCCACCAGTTTTGTGGGGTTTCCAACAGTTTTGTGGGGGGTTCCGCCAGTTTTGTGGGGGTTCTGCCAGTTTTTGTGGGGGTTCCACCAATTTTGTGGGGGCTCCAACAGTTTTGCGGGGGTTCCGCCAGTTTTGTGGGTTTCCACTAGTTTTGTGGGGGTTCCGACAGTTTCTTGGGGGTTCCCTCAGTTTGCTTCAGAAGATTTTCATGATGGCTGGCTCAATACTGGTATCAAGATGCGCAGATTCGGCACGCGTTGCGAGAATGTTGTCGCAGGAACGCTGTGGGTGGCTCTTTTTCTTTTCGTTCAGATTTGGAATAAGACCCCAGGAATGGCCAAAACACCTTGGACCTTTGGTTTCCTTTGGGTTTAAGTTCAATCCAACCCCAAGCAGGGCGGCCGCAACCAAGCCGAGCCACCCATGTCATCCGGCATTGAGCTGTGTGCCAGGTGGAACGACAAGCTCCAGGTGGGCAGAAGTTTGATGGAGCAGAAGCTGAGCTGCAACAAAGGCCGTCTTTCTGTTCTCTTTGTTGGTTTGCTTGTTTTGGCTTGTTTTGGCTTGGTTCTTTTTTCGTTGTTGGCTTGTTTGCTTGTTTGCTTGTTTACTCGTTTGCTCGTTTGCCTGTATGCCCGTTTGCCTGTTTGCCTGTTTGCTTGTTTGCTTGTTTGCCCTCTTGCCTGTATGCCCGTTTGCCTGTTTGCTTGCTTGCTTGTTTGCCCTCTTGCCTGTATGCCCATTTGCCCTGTTTGCCCTGTTTGCTTGTTTGCCCTCTTGCCTGTATGCCCGTTTGCCTTGTTTGCTTGTTTGCTTGTTTGCTTGCTTGCCTGTATGCCTGTTTGGTTGTTTGCTTGTGTGCCTGTTTGGTTGTTTGTTTGTTTGTTTGGTTTTTTGCCAGTTTGATTGTTTGCTTGTTTGCTTGTTTGACTGTTTGCTTGTTTACTTGCTTGCCTGTATGCCTGTTTGCTTGCCTGTATGCCTGTTTGCTTGTTTGTTTGGTTGATTGTTTGCTTGTTTGTTTGACTTTTTGTCGGCTTGTCTCCTTGTATTCTTCCACCTCTGCATTCTTCAACTTGCTCAGCATATGGCGAGACCGTTGGTTTGTTGGGTTAAACCATGAATGGCCCAGACTACTTCTACCTGCAATCATTTGCCGTGTCTTTTCTTGGAGGGTGCCTTTTTAAGATGGTTATAAAGGGACACCGGGAGGTATTTGAAGACACATGTGTTTCTTGATTTCTTCACGCGGGGAGGTTTCGACCGCAAGCTTCGCATCAACAAACACCTACATAAAATTAATCAATATTCCTAATCCCCAAATGACCATGGGTACCTTTTCCCGTTTAGTGGGACATATTGTTGTTTTACGTAGTGGTTTTCCCCAATGGCTATCCCATGTAAAGGGCCTTTTGATCAACCCCAACATCATTTGATGAAGCTTGGCTTAAACATGTTTTCCTGATACGTGAGATTTGCGCACGGTGTTCGGTGAGTGATAAATTTTTGCATTGCTTTCATCAAACACCGCATGGCGCAAAGCAGTTGCAAATGACCGACCCACCCACACTTTGTCGCTGGGCTGGGGTGGAAAGGATGGGAGTGTATCTCGTTGTACGACTGGCATGCTGTTCGCAAAGAGCAGGTCGGTTTTAGTCCTGTCATGGCATTTCAAGACTTAGGCTGCTTTTCACGATCGATGGCGACGATGACGACAAACAGCCTCTCGCGCAATACTTCAACAGTGCGCCGACCTCACCATCGGGTCCTTTCTGCTCTCTTTTGGAGGGGGGTCGGTGCGTCAGTTTTCTTGGGGCTCGGTGCCCCTTTTGGAGGGAGACGCCAAAAGCGAAGAACCGTGGCGCCCTTTCGAGGGTCCGATGTCGTCAAGTTTGACCTGACAACGGATATGGGTGGCTCGTCTTTTTTACGGATTAGGGGACCCCCCCCAAAACAAAAGGAAAGAAGCAATATAACAAAGGAGTTGTGGCTTTCCCTTGTTTTTAAATCACCAAATCAGGCGCAGTTCAACAAACAGACAGACACACATATACAGCATATGCCAACATAGACAAATAATCCAAATTCTGGGGTGACAGTCTTTGTCTTGGTTGAGGCAATTGCTCATGTGAGGAGCTCGCAATTCCTCTACACATGTGAGCATTAGCTTCCCATTCTGAGCACATGAAAACTCTTTCTGGCACTCCTTCAGCTGTGCGTAATCGGCAAGATCACATGACATCACCTGGTTGTTGGGAACCTACTTATTTGGTCTCACAGAGATTGCTGTTTCAAAACGTGGACGTAATCTTGCGTTGGCAGATTGCTGATGAACCCCAGCCATTCCAGCGTGAGCCTTTGGATTCCCAGCCAGAGCTAGCTTTTTCTGCCTCGCGCCTGTGAGGCGGACTGGATGTTCGCAGATCCTCGGTATCAGGCGCAGGGACGAAAGCTACACCGCAACTCTTTAGCGCTTTTGCATTCACAGTTCGCAAACATGCACGATACTGCTTCAGCAGAAGACAATGTGAACATGGTCCGCATGTCATTTCAACATGCAATATAGGGACTCCCCCCCCCAAGTGCCTGCTTGCTGACACCGGCCTTTGCTGCGCATTCGCGGCAACGAGCGTAGCAAGTGCAGCGCTTGGCACGCGGCCTTGGACGCCTTTTGCGCCGGGGGCAGCCTCTCTTGGCGCTCGCTCTTGCGTCGCGGTGGGCATTTGCAGCCCCAAGCAAGCATGAGGTTTCCTCCAATTCGTGTCGTCCTTCTGTGAGCTCGCGTCAGCCACGCTCAATCCCAAAGCAAAACGAAGAGCCCGCGGTCAAACGCTCTACATGAGCCCTGAGCGAGAGGCAGCCGGTAAGCTCGAAGGGCGACACGTCTCAGGGCAAAGTGCTGCTTAACCCCAGACCTACCAACTGGGTTGGGACAAATTGCAGGCAAATGCAGCTTGCTGAAGGTCGAGCGATCGGGTCTGAGTGCTTCCTTCTGAGGAACCGCTTTTTTTGTTTCCGCATTTTGCTCGCGGGATGTTTTTCAGCCGGGGTCTTGTCAACTCGGGGTGATCTGGTTGCCCAGATGACGTCGGGGGCTCGACTGCTCGACTTTTGCTTGCGCAGCAAGAAACTCTGCCGCAAACTCAATCGCTTTGGTTTGTGGACTTAGCGGGCTTGGAACATGACGAGGATTGCTGGATTGGCGATTTGGTTGTTGTCTCGACAGTTTGCCAACCTTCGCTCTCGAACCTTAGCGACATGTTGGGAATGTGCCCCACTTTTGATGGACATGCCAGCGACAATCCAACCGCAGGGGCTCGTGCAAAGATCAACTGGGGCTCCACATATGATCCATCATGAGCTGTGCACAGGATGAGAGCTTTGACGCGCGCGTGGCCCCGACATTCAGTTTCACGCCCAACAAAGGCGCGCCGAACAGGCGGGAGTGGGCTGCCAGGTGTTCCTGCTTGGTTCTTTTTTCTGATTTGCTTGCCTTATGTCAAATTGAGCAAGCGCTTGACTTCATAGCTTTGCTTCGGGAAGTTCAGAGGAAGCCGCGGAACGCGGACGAAATCTTCTCGGCGCCTTGGCTTAAATATTGCTGCAAATATCTGCTCAGGCAGCGTTTCGGTTTCGCTTTCCGGCTGAGGACTGGACTCTTCCACCACTCAGGCCCTGCTTTTGAAAGCGGTCCGCGCGGGATGTGTGGTCTTTGTGGGATGGAGAAGCGAAGCAAAGAGGCATGGCAAATTCTTGTGAGGCCGAAGTGGTCCGTTGTTAGAGTCTTTTTTTGCTGTTTTTCCCCCAACAGCTGAAAGCTTTGGGGTCTCAGCCCAGATAGGCTCCAGGGTGGTCCGGGGCAGCCCTGAGGTAAGGTTCCACCAGGGTTCCACCAGGGTTTTACCAGGGTTCCACCAGAGTTCCACCAGGGTTCCACCAGGGTTCCACTAGGGCCACTAGGGTTCCAGCAGGGTTCCACTAGGGTTCCACCAGGGTGCCACAAGGTTCTGCAAGGGCTGCGGGCACTAAAAAGAGCACCGCATGCTGTTGGGGATATCGCCTGAGCTTATTTTTTTGACCTGCTGGGTATTTTGTTTTGACCTGGGTAAGGGGCGGTCTGTTAACAGGTCAGAAAAAGACCCTCTTCGAGTTGCGCCGATCTTTTGCTGACCCTGGCAGGAATCCAACTCACAACCGTTGCTTTGTGCCGCGCTGCAAGGAAGGCGCTGACAAGCCCCCGGCCAGGTTCAAAAAAGACCGTCTCAGAGCGGCGTCAGTGGTTGTGGACCTGCAGCGGGCTTTTGCCTCCCGCAGGTCAAAAAAGACCCTCTTCAAAAGGGTGCCAGGTTCTTTTCTGACCCGCAGGGGTTTTTGCTTTGCCCCGCGTCGTCGAGAAAGACGCTCGCAGGACCCCTGATCAGGTCAAAGAGAGCCTTGTCAGAGGAGCGTCAGGCTCTTTTTCTGACCCGTAGGGAGTCTTTGCTTTGTCCCTGCTCGCTCACACGACAAGCCCCCAACAAGGTCGAGAAAAAACTCTTTAAGACGTCGTCAGGTTTTCCTGACCTGTAGGGTGCTTCGTTGGAAAGACGCCCACAGGATCAGGTCAAAGAAGGGCGTCAGGACCTCTAGCGCTTGTAGACAAGCCTCTCCAACAAGGTCAAGAAAAGAGGGGTGCCAGGTTTTTCCTCACCTGTAGCGTGTTTGGGCTGAGCCCCGCATCCACGACCCATGATCAAGGTCAAAAAAGACCCTGTCACTGTCAGGAGCCTCCCCCACTCAAACTGATGATTATACGAAGACTTTAAAGAAGTCAACGTGTGTATGGATTTTAGTGATTTCCCCGCAGAGCATCCAAACTATGGCAAAACAAGCAAGAAGGCGCGAGGCAAGTTGAAAGATGAGTTGAATGGTAAACAATAGCTCTCTTTCTAGGATTGAAAGCTATAGAGTCTACGGTGAAGAAAAGGAACATGAAAAGAGTAAAGGTGTTATAAAACATAAAGTTAATGACAACTAAGTTATGGTAAGTATGAAGCTGAAAGTCAACGGAAAAAGTGACCTTTATAGCAGCGTCAAATATAGAGCACCAGTCAGACCCCACATGCTTTAAGTAATTATGACACTAAAAGGCATTGGCTGAATGACTGCGAGAGTCTGCCTTACGGGCGCTACAAGATAGCTAAGATGACTTCAGGATATGACAACTTAAGAAGATAGTAGATATGAACAGATACCAGGATGGAAAGATTTACAGAACAGTAGATGTTGGTTATAACATTCTATATTGGAAGCGCTACAAAAAGTTTAGGCCAAAGACTGGCGAGACATGAGATGGCTATATAGAGGAACAGAACGGAGCAAAAGCACGTTCAACAGCGTTATTTGATGAGTGTGGTATTGAAGTTGTAAGATTGAACTTACAGAAAATTGCCCTTCGTGATCCTAAAGAGGATTTACGTTCCAGAGAAGGATATCATCAACAGAGGAATGATTGTGTGGACGGACAGGTGGCAGGCAGAATGCCTGAGAAGCATGTGGGGCGTGGCCTGGGAACGGCAGGGAATACTTCAGACAAAAGGAGTGAGAGAGAGACAACCGCAGAAAGCAGAATATATGAGGAAAAGGAGAGCGGAGAACCCAGAACACCAAGAATACGGCAAGAGGTAGAGACAACTAAACATTGACGAAATTGGACAAAAACTGTTTGTGATATCTGTGGCTCTACAGTTAGGAAGCGTGATTCGAAGGCGCGTCAAAAGACCAAGAAATGTCAGTCTGCAAGTAGCGGTTCATGACGGTTGTATCTTTTAGTCAGTCCATCTAACTTGTTGTAAGAGTTGTTCATCATATCACGACCTTTAAGATTGACTCAATATTTCTTTTCACTCCATTGATTTTTGTCTCCTTTCTTGAAACATAGCTACCTTTACCTTATCAAATACCCTAACATAATCACCTTCCTCAATTCTTGGATACTTGCGGATAGGCTTTTCTTTCAATATAATGTTTTGTCTAACCTGAACCGCGCTATCCAAATGGTGAGCCTTATTTGTTGACATTTTAGTCGTGCTATGGGTTTGGTTACGGCCAAAACGTATGTGTTGCCCGCAACCGCCCGGAAGCGGGCCCCCGACGAGACCTCCAAAAAGCTTGGCAGGCGCAGCAAAAACGCACTTCCGAGCCTCCCGGGCCCGGGCCGCGCCGCACCTCCATGCTCCATACCCCCTTCATGGAGCGCTCCATACCCCCTTCATGGAGCGCGGCGACTTTTCCTGGTTACACTGCTATCATCAACACAACCCTAAACCTAAACCAGACAAGCCAGCCTTGGATGCGCCGGACAGCCGGCCCCAAGCAATCCTAAACCCGGAAAACCCTAAACCTAAATCCTAAAAACCCTAAAGCCTAAACCCTAAAAAACCCTAAAAGAAAGCCCTAAAAACCCTGGAAACCCTGAAAACCCTAAACCAAACCCTAAAACCCCTAAACCTCAATCCTAACAACCCAAAACCTAAACCTTAAAATCCTTAAACCTAAACCCTAAAAACCCTAAACCTAAACTTTAAAAACCCAAGCCCAAACCCTAAGAACCCTAAACCTGCCAGCACGATCATACAGCATAAAAAGACCTTGTGGGCGACACGTATGTTTTGTGGGTTTGGTTATTATACTTTCTAACCGATGCTTTCATCACGTCAACCCAAGTTTTGTCTTTGTTTGCACGAAGTCTGTCAGCAATGATCTTTTTGACCGTCCTGATTGTTATTACATGTGCCCCCCGCGACGTTTTGGAACTGGTACACAGACTGCTTAGAGCACCCTCACTTGAAGCAGCGCTTGTTCGAACATTCCGCTGGGGGGCGCGCCAACCCCGGCGTCTTTTGAACTCTCACACAGACTAACGCACCCTTATTTACCTCGTGGCTTGTTCATGCATCATGGGGGGGGCTGCCGCCGTTCCCGCCCGCCCCCTGGCAGGTTTTGAAATTCTTACAAGCCAAACGCGCCCCTGGTAGCATTCCGCAGGTTCTAGAAATCCTACACAGCCCACACCCTGAGTTGAATCAGCGCCTCTTCGAACAGAATGGGGGGGGCCGCCGCCCAGCTCCCCCCCCCCCCACCCCTCGACTTTTGAAAAAACCTCGTACAGAGACTAATTAATGCGTGGTTTGAGCATTCTGGGGGGTGCCCCTCCGGGGTGTTTGGAAATCTTACACAGAAGCTCTTAGTCATTAGTTGAATCAGCGCTTCTTCGGACATGATGCACCCAACCCCCCACTGGAGTCAGCGCTTGTTCGAACATGCTCCGGGGGGGGAAGGGGAGGTGGGTGTTTTGAAGTCTTACACAAACTAACGCACGCTTAGTTAACTCATTAGTTGAATCAGCGCTTCTTCGAACATGGTGGGGGGGGGGCCTCCCCAACCCCGCCGCGACCGCGACTTGCCCCCACCAGTTTCGAACTCTTACACAGGCTAACGCACGCTTACCTAACGCATTAGTTGAATCAGTGCTTCTTCGAACATAATGGGCTCGTACCCAGACAAATTGATGCACCCTCACTTGAATCTCGGCAAGTAACGCACGCTCCCTGAATCAGCGCTTGTTGGAACCTTCTGCCCCGGGGGGGGGGGGGCGCCGACTAATGCACCCTTATTTCCCTTGTGGCTTGTTCATGACATCATTGGGGGGGGCTGCCGCCGTTCCCGCCCGCCCTCCCCCCCCTTTCCCGGCAGGTTTTAAAAATCGGTTCATTTATTGTGATCGAATTCAGTCACGCTGCGCCGTTCCTGGTCTAGATGAGGGCGCTGCACTTCGAACAGATCTTGTTATTCGGTACTGATTTTGACCCGAGTTGAGAATTGATGATTAGTTTTGCGAGAATAGTGTCGTGCTGTGTACGTCTATATGTGTAGATCTATGTCAACAGTGAGATGTATTCAGAATAATTTGGCCGTGTTGTGCACGCGTCTTGTCTTGTCTTTGGTCAGGTTGTGGGGGCTGTGGTCACGTTTTGGTAGAGTCTTGCAGTCACCGCCGGCCAGGCAGTGGTGCAAAGAGGGGCGGCCCGTCAAGGTGCGCTGAGAGCACCTTCGCAGCGAGCTGGGTCCTTTTGGGGTGATGCTTAGAGGGGGAAAGACAGGTGTGTCTTTTTATATAAGTCTCCCCGCCCAAACAAAAAATGGTAATTCTGTTGGTTTCCATTTAAAGCTAAACAACAAGGGGTACCCTCAAAACAAGACACACTGTAGGGAACCCCGATGCAGGACAAGTCAACAAAACTAGAAAACATGAGTCGAAGCTGAAGGAGTGGGTTGATCTACTGCCGCTTCTGTTTGGAGTCTCCAGGACCCTTACCAAACAGAGGTCATGCCGGCTATTTTCGGTAGACCCGTTTTTCTCAAGGGTCATGGAGGCTTCAGGTGGTAATGCTCTTGATGTAGAAGTTAAACTACCAGCTAAAACCACAACCTGAGTGTGGAGTAGAGTAGGGTCAAGCAATTTCAACACCAACATGTCGGCGCCTGTGTAGTTTCTTACCTTGGGTTTTGGGTAGTCTCCTTTGCTGGGTGGAAGCCGTGATCCACCTTTGGGCAGGTTGTCCTTTCCAATGAACCGCTGCTTCAGTTCGACCGCGAATCGCCAGACAGTCCTCACGGAGTCGCAAGGATCTTTTCTTAGTGTCCCCTTGAGATCTCTTCACAAACCATTCAAAACGGGACCCCCGACATGGCAACTTGCAAGGTTTGTGTTTGGCAACTTGAATGTGCCCCGACGAACCGTCCCACGCCATGAAGGTGAATGTTCACTTGCCAAGCGGAGATAGTTACTCCGTAGAAGTCTCACCGGAGACGGCCATCAGCGAGCTGAAGGCTGCAGCGCAGAAGCATTTCCAGCGCCGCTTGAGGCTCATTGCAACAGGCTGTCAGCTGGATTTGACGGCCACGCTAAGTGAGTTGGGGTTGCGAGATGGGGATGCGGTGGGGGCGGTTGCGGAGCTTGGCCAACTGGCAGCCGCCCGTGATTCATTTTCTTGGCATGGCCACATGGGCGAGGTTGTGACCTGGGGTGATCTACATGGTGGCGGAGACTGCAGCCAGATGCAAGAGCAGCTGAGCAAGGTCCAGCACATCCAAGCGGCTGACCAGGGTGCTTTTGCTGCAATTCTTCAATCTGGGGCAGTTGTGACCTGGGGTTATTCAAAGCTCGGCGGAGACAGCACCCAGGTGCAAGAGCAGCTGAGGAATGTCCAGCACATCCAAGCAACTGACATGGCTTTTGCCGCCATTCTCGAATCTGGGGCTGTTGTGACCTGGGGAAATGCAGACCTTGGCGGTGACAGCAGCCAGGTGCAAGAGCAGCTGAGGAACGCACAGCACATCCAAGCATCCACGGGTGCTTTTGCGGCCATTCTTGAATCTGGAGCTGTTGTGACCTGGGGTGATCCAGAATATGGTGGAGACAGCAGCCAGGTGAGAGAGCAGCTCAGGAATGTCCACCACATCCAAGCAACTGCACACGCTTTTGCTGCCATTCTTGAATCTGGGGCTGTTGTGACCTGGGGTCATTCAAAGCTCGGCGGAGACAGCAGCCAGGTGCAAGAGCAGCTGAGGAATGTCCAGCACATCCAAGCAAATAGCTATGCTTTTGCTGCCATTCTTGAATCTGGGGCTGTTGTGACCTGGGGTGATCCACGCTTTGGCGGAGACAGCAGCCAGGTGCAAGAGCAGCTGAGGAATGTGGAGAACATCCAAGCAAATTACGGGGCTTTCGCTGCCGTTCTTGAATCCGGGGCTGTTGTGACCTGGGGTCATCCAGACTGGGGCGGAGACAGCTGCCAGGTGCAAGAGAAGTTGAGGAACGTCCAGCACATCCAGTCAGCTGGTGGGCCTCTTGGTGGTGCTTTTGCTGCCATTCTTGAATCTGGGGCTGTTGTGACCTGGGGTAGTCCAGGGTGGGGCGGAGACAGCAGCCAGGTGCAAGAGCAGCTGAGGAATGTCCAGCACATCCAAGGAAATAGCAGAGCTTTCGCTGCCATTCTTGAATCTGGGGCTGTTGTGACCTGGGGTCATCCTGGGTGGGGCGGAGACAGCAGCCAGGTGCAAGAGGAGCTGAGGAATGTGCAGCAAATCCAAGCAACTATCGGGGCTTTTGCCGCCATTCTTGAATCTGGGGCTGTTGTGACCTGGGGTGATCCAGACGGAGGCGGAGACAGCCGCCCTGTGCAAGAGAAGCTTAGCCTGTAGTTTGGTTCTGTTGTGACACGAACGGTGCAAATCCGGTGTGCTTTTTTCAGCGTGCTGAACCAAGGGAATCGTGGACACCATAGTTGAGCAGCGTCCAAAACCTCCGTGTACATGTTTAGTACGAGTCATATCGACCAGCGCGTAAGGAAAAACTCCACGCGCGTAAGGTGGCGTAAGCTGGTGGCGTAAGCAGAATGATACGACATAGCAAATCATGATAGGACATGGCTCAGTTGGATTCTTAGCTGGCTGGTTCTTGGAGACAAGCAAGGCAGCTCCTGTTAAGAATTGTCCTTATGTTTTTGTTGTTTGAGTTGTTACCAGTTTGTTACCTTTGGACGATACGATTTGAAGAGGATGCTTGACTTGATGGTGAGTTTTTTGCTCACATTGGTTCAGCACGTTGGACATTTCAACCTTCGAGAATTGACACTTGCCTGAGCCACTTTGCCAGGAGTTGCAGAGAGCAGCAGCACAGTACAACTATCGCTTGGTGCACTTGCCCCAGGATTCCAGCGAGAGGCGGCCAGATTGTGCCAATTGTTTGGAGACCCGGAAAGGCAGCCAGGTTGGCAGCCAGGATGGTTGGGCACGTGATGGTTGGCATGTTCCTTTCAAGCATCAACTGGGCACTGTAGCAAGTGAATGCTTCTGATGGCACGTTAGGTCCAAGAATCTTGTGCCGGAGAGGGTGACCCCATTTGCCGGGAGCTCAGCTCCGGAGCTGCCGGAGGCGTAGTGCTTAACGTTTCCAGTTGTGAATCAGAGACCTGGAACCAAACAGTGCAGGGCGGGTGCTTCCCACTTCCATTGTCGCTCCTCGTGAGCTTGTTGCGGAAAGGGGGGGGATGCCTTAGGACAATGCGAAGCTGAAGCTGCACCACACGCACACCTTCATGGTGGATGTGGGTCATCATATCCGCAAAGATGATCACAGCACCTGGACCGGTTTTGCCTTGAGCTCGGGAACTGGAAGGCGCAGCGAGCAACTCTGCGGCCGCTGAAACTACGACTCTGGGGATGTTGAGCGGACAAATGCAGAGTTCTTCCTTGCCAGGGAGGAAATCACGTGCAACGCGTCTGAGCTTGAGCAGGTTCTCTGTATGCCTGTTCTTGGCTTTCGTTGGTTTTCCAACCGATGTGTCTCAAAGGGGCAAGGAAGAGGAGAGACCAGGAGAGCAAGAATTGAGGGAAGATGGAAGGCGAAGGACAAACATGAAGAGCAAAAGCGGGATCAGGGAACGGAAGGAATCAATCAAGACCATAGACAAGAAAGAGCAGAGAACATAAGGGTGTTTCCTAATATAGGGCCCCTGAAATGGTTGGTGTGCTTGTGGTGTCCCTTTATATATACCAACACAAGGGGTCCTCCATTGGGAGACGTGAAAGGCATGGAAGACGTGAATGGCCGATGAGCAATCACCGCTCTCCTTGCGAGTGCGTTTTCGCGAGCAGGACACTGGCGCGGTTGCAGGTGGGCCTGCCGAAGCATTTGGCCCCAAAATACAACAAGGCTCGAACTCGCCGACTCGGGTTTCAGAAACCTTTCGCCCGAAATGCTGATCAGAGCGTTCAAATGCGTGTGTCTTTGTTTTTTTTGGGTTGGACCCCCAGAATGGGTGGTTTTCCTTTAGGTTTCATTTATATAAACCAACCTCACAAGGGGCCTCACAAAAAGACACCCCGAAATCCATTTGACAACTCTGTGGACCTATTCAAGGTTCCGTGAAGATTACTTGTGGTTCTGTCCATTTTGGGGGACATGAGGGAAACCAGTAGTTTTGGCCGTTCACATAGATCCCACTTGGATTTGCCCTCCCGTTTGCTTTTCGCTCAACGAGACAAGTGGGGAACAAGGATGGCGCTGGCTGCGGCGTGACCAGTCAGAACACCTTTCAATGGTTGGGTGCTGCCTTTGCGCTCGGGTTTGTGTGGCTGGCGCGAAAGCTGGTGGGATCCATCAGTCGCAGTCTTCGCGTGAGGTGCTTCCTGGTGTGCCAGAAATGAGGGCCATGTTGGCCAGGCTTACATCAAATTTTGCGTGAACAAGAGAGTAACGCTTCACGCTTTGATTGTCGAAGAACCCTCGAGACACTGCTGTCCTGTTAGCCTCCGACGCATGCCAAATCTGGGTGACGTTTAGACTCCCAGAGCGCGGGTGACAGGCCAAGCGGCCAAGCTGGCGGCCGAAGGGACAATGGGGAAGAAAAACATTCTGGAGGGGCGAAGGGCGCGCGGTAGAGCAAGCGTTCGCACGGAGTTGGGATCCTCTCGCTCGCTGACTGTGCAACCCCAAACTCACGATGGATATGACAAGGCGTTGGTGGAGGTTTGCGGATTGTCGCTCCCTCGAAAACAAGCGGGAGATAGGAAATACAGAGCGAAGAGCGCGAGCCTCCGACAGTGTGGCTTTGCTTCAGCTTGCCCCCCCCCAAAAAAAAAACAACAAATAGGGGGCGGGCCCAGATGTCCCTTGGCGCGGCAGGGCTGGGAGGCCAGAAAGCGCCTCTAGGCTAGAGTCTGCCTCTAGGCTAGAGTCTGCCTCTAGGCTAGAGTCTGCCTCACATGAGTGCGCGAGTTTTCTGTTGAATTGTTTCAATGTCTGAAAACTCTGGTCTTGCAATCGCAAAAACGTTGAGTCAGCAGGAATTTCTTTCCAAATGTTAATAGACAGATGGATATGATAGATAGATATATATATATATAGTTAATATTTGTATATACTTACGTGTCCTTGACCCTTTTCGGGACAGTCCTTGGGCAGTGTATATATATATATACACATACTGTCCTTGACCTCGTTTCAGGACAGCATTTGGCACTGTAAAGCTGTAAAGCTACAGAGTCCTTCACTTGCATGAGGAATGGCCGGTCTCCCCTGTGAAAGCGTGCCTGCAGGCCCGAAACGGGGTTGTGAACACTGTGACGCTGAGCGACGTGAACAAACATCACTATGAGCTGCTTGGTTAAAAATTGTGGGCTCGGCTGTGCACTGTGTTGTCTCTACTAATCCACAGTTGGCCTCGGGAGAGTTTTGATCTAGAAACAACACTGCAAACCAAACTCGTTCGAGATACAACTCGTGGGCCCGGCAAACTTCCAATGCCGGCTTCGGACATTGGCAAACTGCATCCGACTCTTGCGTTGCCTGAGCTGTGAACAAACCGTTCATGCTGCCTCCCTGAAAGGAGATTCATTCCAGGGCTTTCGATTCTCAATTCTGCAGGGCTCAAATGATCGGCCATCGAGCGATGGGCCTACAAGGCTGATGTCCGCATCCCAATTCGTAGAAACCTGTGACCCGGCGTGAAACTGTGACTCCGAGACCGGCCATGATTGTGACCCTACTCGGGAAGAGTGCTCCAGGGCTGGGTGTCCTTGAACCTTGTTCGGTGCAACTTGACAGCTTTGTCTCTAGGGGTAAACTGTTCGGGCCCGTCGGGCCAGTCGGGCCCGTCAGGCCCCGTTGGGCCCGTCGAGCCCGTGAAGCTTGTTGGCCAACAAAAGAGGAGGCTGTTAATTTGATGCAGTCATGCCCATGGGAAATTGAAGGTTTCGAAGCAGTTTATCTTGACACGAGGCTGCCGTTGGCTGACAGCCCACGCCAGGCACGGAGCGAGATCTGTCCAACCAGTCTACTAGAAATTTTCTCGAGCACGCCCACGAACGCTCCCATCCCACCAGCACGGCCGCCTGCCAAAACTCAGAGTGCACATCCCACCAGCGCGGCCCCGTTGAATGCTCCGGCACCCATCGCACCAGAGATGCTTTCGGGAAAAAGGCGCTTGAAGAGACGCTGCAAATGGGAGCTCTGGTTATGCTAGCAACACCGGCAAGCAGGTTCAAGCTTGATAGAAGCCAATACCGTTGTGTACGTGTGTGTCTGCTCCACTTACCCGCCTTCTCTGCCTGCCTGTTCATCCGCGCAGGTCTTTGCGCATCTACTCATCTACCTGTCTGCTCTTTTGTTTGTCCAGCCGTTTGTCCATCAACGCATCTGTGCATTTCCCAACCTATTTGTTCGATCCAATCTGCTCTGACCTAATACTTTAGTCCATGCGCTTACCTGCCTATCTAGTTATCTGTTCTAATACCCGTCTTTCTTTCTGTCTATATCTCTCTTCTGCCCATCTATATGAGTTTCATCTATCTGTCCCTGTCCATCTACCTATCTATCTATCTATCTATCTATCTATCTGGCTTTCTATCTTTCTATCTCTCCTATCTATTGAAAATCTCTATCAAAATATCGATCACTCGTCTATCGATCCATCTGTCTATTGTTCTATCTATCTGTCTAGTTATCCTATGATCGATCTTTCCGTTAAGGCCCGTCCAGTGCGTGGAGCCCGTCATGGAGCCCGTTGTCCCGTTAGGTTGAGCCCGTCACACACGCGACGCCCGTCACACACGCGACGCCCGTTGGGCCCGTCAAGCCCGTCAAATACCTGAAGCCGTTGGGCCCGTCAGGCCCGTCAGGCCCGTCAGGCCTGTCAGGCCTGTCGGGCCCGTTGGGCCCGTGAACGGTGAGTGCCCGCTTCTCGGGCATCGTGGCTGTTTTATGCTCTGTGGGTATTGCGGTATTGCTAAGAGCGTTGCAAAACTTGTCAATCAGTCACGTTGTCATAGCAGGGTTTATCTACAAAACAATCATCTATCTCATGTTTGATTCCATGTTGACATTTGACCACGTGCAAGCCTGCGCATGCATTCCACGACTCTGCTGTAAAGATGCACAGAATTTGGATGTTGTTGAAGGAGCAAGCGCTGCATCATAGGACTTCCCACAAGCGGGAAAGTGCCTCAGAATGAGGCAAGCTTTATGCTCATGTCACCCGCCGAGGTTTGCCTTACGCTCCAACGATGTCATCACCCTGAAAAAGGCAACTGCTGGAGTTGTGGCAAGGAATGCTTATTGCTGCTATGCCACTCAATACTTGTACCAAATACCAAAGTTGGAAGTTGCCGGACAAACCGCCACTAACTTATTACAGATTTTGGCGGAGGCTGCGTGTGTACAGGTTGCCAGGAGCAGTGTGACAGTCGGAGGCTTGGTGTATGGGCTAATCTCACGTTGTTGTCACCTAGACATTCTTTTGCGGAGAAGATCGCAAACCTTCTCGACATTTGTGTGTGTGTGTGTGTCTTTGTTTGAGGGCTCCCTTTTTGGTCCGTTTCAAAACAAATCCAAGGGACAACCACCATTTTGGGGGGTCCAACCTGAAAAAAGACAGACCCAGTTGTTTGATCCCAATAAAGATGAAGCAAGCTTCAGCCAGCCTACCGCTTTTCTTTGCAGGATGGCAGGCTGATTCAAGAGCTGCCCGCGCATCAGCAGCCGCAGCTCAGCGAGGTGTTGCGAGGGTTTGCTTTTTGGTTGTTGGGGCTGTTGGGGTGCTGGCTTGAGGTTTGTGGGGCCGGTGGGCTGTTAGGCTGGGTTTGTCTTTTTTGAGGATACCTGTGGATTGTTTTGAAGGGACACCGTCGGGGACACCGTTGCGCCATTTTTTGTGTCTTCTTTGAGACACACCGACGTTGCTAAAGCCGGGAAAGCACATTTGTGCCCTGTTTGGCTTTCCTTCAATGCATGCGGTGGGTTGCTTTGGCCCTTGTTTCAACCTTTTTGTCGGAGCTTTGCCTGGTCAAAGATCACAACTACTGGTGGCCTGATCTATGTGTTGCATTGCAGGATGATGTTGTCAAGGAACGCAAGGCCGGGACCACAGCGAAGCAATGCGCACTGAGGCAAGTCAATGAGGCAAGATGGCCATGGGCCAAAATCCAAATCGTACCCCCAGTCAACATCCCAATCCCCACTAAACTAGACTAAAATGGGTGGTGCACCTATCCCAAAATGGTACCATTGGTTTTGACCCACAGCCAGATGTCGCCAGCGCATTCTGTAGTACCACGCAGCACGACCTTGCCGCTTGATGCCACCGGCTGATGTTGGCAACGATTGTGGCAGGAACTCTGTTGGATAGCCCCATGTTGTCTTTAGAGACTTGAGTCTTGCACGCATGTTTGAGGTGGATATGGATTGCCATATTATACATAAGAGCTAACAGCTGCTTCGAATGCAACAATACTACTACAATAGATATGGGCAAAATCTCGAACCCGACAGCAATTGGTATCTACTTGATGGTAGCTTGCCATGAGGATACTTTGCTCCAGGCGCTCCAGGGTAGGAGGCATGACACCCTTAAAGACAGTAATATGGGACACGAGGCAAGAACATCTGGGCGTTTCCGTGCAAGTGCTGGACAGCTTTCCGTGAAATCAACTCCATTTCCGGGAGGCACACGGCACGCTACATCTATCGCCAGCCCATGGCAACTGCAGAAATATCACGGAGAAGGTTTCCTCCGTCTTTGATCAGCCATTGCCAAAGCTTTCGCCTGAGTGAAAGCAGAGACTGACCATTGGGGGTGTCTTTTTTCTATGCGTAGCCCTTTTTTGTGCCGAGGCTCATGTTGTAGGTAGAAGGGGCAGCTTTCTGCATCGGAGGTGCTGAATGTCGCTGGTCGAGAAATCAAGGTGCATCCGGGGTTTGGAAGGGTGAATTGCGAGGGCGGTAGCAATGCCAAGCACTCACTGACTTCCGGACTCTTCCGGTTGGCCCTGTCCTTGACTGGTCAATGAGTTGTCTCTGCTTGCCTTGAGATACTGAAGCGCTTCTCGCATGGGCAGTCAGAAAGCTGCTTCACCAGATGCTCGCAAGCTGGTCATTTGATACAAGCACGGTCAAGCACAGCCAGCCAGCCCAGCCAGCCAGCCAGCCAGCCCAGCCCAGCCCAGCCCAGCCCAGCCCAGCCCAGCCCAGCCCAGCCCAGCCCAGCCCAGCCCAGCCCAGCCCAGCCCAGCCCAGCCCCAGCCTCAGCCCCAGCCCAGCCCAGCCCAGCCACAGGCCAGCCACAGGCCAGGCCAGCCAGCGTATCCTCATGCTAACGATGGATGAGCGCGGGCACCCCACAAGATTATTCTAGGGGCACTTTCCCCATTCTTTCCAGGGATCCTTCTTTTCAGGAAACCATAAAACAAATCCAAGGGGAAACAGCCGGTTTTTGAAAAGAACGATGGTTGAAAAGAATGGGGAATCAACCCCTAGAATTATACAAGATTTGCCATAGGTGTCCGAGTCCACACCCTCGGAAACGAAAGAGGAAGGCCGACTCGGCGGCCGAGGGGAACAAGGCCGAAAGGTTGTCAAACGCAAAACATGTCCAATTGCAAGGAAGCCCCTTCGAAGACAAGTTTTGACACAGCCAAGAAATCAGATAGGGTCATCATGCAACTGAGTTTGTGGGGAATCGATCTGGTTTATTCCCTAACTGTTGCACACATATGAAAGAGTGGTTTGCTTTGTTTGAAGCAAAGGATAAGTTTGCAGCAGTGGTGACCAAGTGCATTTTTGCTTCGCGTGGGGCACTCGTGAAGAAGGGCTCGGGCGGCGTGGCTTCAGGTGACGAAGGCCTATGCGCATCAAGTTGATCAGGCGCGGACCGAGCAAACTGATCGGAGCACTTGCGGCTCGGGATTCGTGTGGTTACAGCGCTCGTTTAGTCTTTCAAGGGAAGCCGAGTCGCTGATCAGCAAGTTTTTTTTGTTTTCCCCCGATCTTCTGGGGCCCTTCTCGGAGAAGGAGACATAGAACCCTACTGTGGGAGGACCACATCCTTCACCACCTAATCTCCTGTTAATGCAAACAAACCCGGGTTTCACAATGGTTTCAAAGTGGTGCGAATGGATTTCGTCCACCACTAGAACCCTGCAAAAATAGGGAGCTGCTGTTCCCCATCGCTTTTTTGATGCCGAGAGCTCCCCTGGGCTCAAAGGGGACTCAGACCTGAGGTGCTTGAGCTGTTCCGGGACGCCGAGGATCATGTTGCCGAGGAGCGCGAGTGGACCTATTTGTCCGTTGACAAATGGCCATGGGGCATAACCTATGGCTCCATTTTGGAGTGGATGAACAACTATTTGCCACCTATTTTGATGTTCACCAGGTGTACAGGGTTTTGACCCACAGCCATATCTGTTGCCTGACTCGTGGACTGGGGAGTGCCATTCATTCTGCAACCATTGCAACCCGATGATGTCTGCAACCTGCCACTGATTTTTCCTTTTCGCAAGCGCTTTGCCTTTGTTCTTCAGGCACTGCAGCTGTTTGTGCGAAGTTGCCTGTGCAAGCTTGAGAGCGTTGTTGGGCCAGCCAACGTGACAAGTCGCTGATTTATGCTGAGTTGTTGCCTTGCAGGCTTTGCGCAACCCTTTTGAAGACGCAGGATGTGTTTTGTTTGAAACCAAGATGGACTTTTGTTTTGAGACTCCTGAATCCCTTTTCGGTTCATCGAGCGGCCGACTCCAAAAACAATGAGACCCGTATCTGGGTTACAGCCTGCAGCTAGATTCTTGTGCAGCTCTTGATCTCTCGCGCCTCTTTGCTTGTGCGCAAGGTAGAGGAGTCGCGTGGACATGAGGTGGGACCAAACGAGGACTGACGGCCAGTGCCACTTTCATGATCCAGAATTGGGGTACAACCCAGGTTGTGGTCATGCAGAAGATGTGCTGAGATTTGGGTGGGTGAAGGGCAGATACCGGGGTTGAGTCTATGCCGCAGTCAGCAAGCGAACTTACGAACCCCGGGCTCCCACGCTTTAACGCTTTAGGACGTGCTGTATTCGTACCTGACGGTGAAATACAAAGGTGCTGGCGAGGCCGGAGCCTGAGGTCAAGATGCTGTACTCACAGAAGTGCAGATCTCGCAAGAAGGATTCAACTTCGGGCTTTTGGATCTTTGCAATCCAAAGGCGGCCAGCCCAAAGCTCCACGTTCTCGCAGTAGGCCACCAGCGGATTTTTGTAATTTTTGCGCCGCGCCTTTCGCGCGGGCTGTGGTGTTTGGGAAAAAATCCCGTGGTCACGAAGTGCGAGGGCAACGGGCTGAGCTTGAGCAAACGGTCCCATCGGCAGCGGAGCATTTTTTTCACAGACTCCCACTCTCGCCGCCGTCCAAAAGCTTGACGGAATTCGCCAAGCGTAAGCTGCCGAGGAATGCTATCGAACAAAGATCCTGCAGCGCTGGCACATGCCGTTTGTACTTCTCTCACGTATTTGGGCGAGTTTGCCAGTCAATGAGGCAAAGCCACGAAGGATCCCAAATTATGGGTTCAGAGGATTCAGATCGAGTCTTTCTTGTGAGAGCCTTGGGCAACTTGGTTGCTCTTCTGCGTTCCAAGGTGATCTGGGCGCCACCCCCACACATGAACAACTGGCAGGAGGGGTTCTGAGTTGAAAGCTCGGTGCGCCACTTACATCTGAGATCATGCCTTGTATTGCTGAGAAAGACATCATCTTTCCGGTAATATTTAGATTGCAGCTTCTGAGGCGATGCTCCGTTTCTTGTGCTGGGTTTCATACACGCGCTTGACTCTTCGCATTGTGGCCTGCGGGATTTTTTGGTGAACATGTCAATTGAAATGGACCGATTTCTCAGTGGAGGTTCGGGTTTATGGCGGGCTAACTTTTGTTTGCCTGTCGCCAAACAGGAGCCTGGCACTCTCCTCTTTGTGGTGAAGGCGGGGGGACTTACGAACAAAGGTCCTTGCACGGGGGCTATCCTCAAAAACACAGCTGGCAGCAGCATGAAGGCCCGCAGCCGATGTTTGGCCAGGCACAAAAAGGTTTTGTTTTCAGCTGATGGTATTTGAGAAGGCGCAACTTCGAACACGCCTCCGGTACGTGATTTGGCTCAATCTGATTGGAGACTTGGGGGGCTCACTTGGCAGGATGCGATGGGCAGGTTTTCGGCCATCCGCTTGCCCAGCTTTGAGCCTCGGCCGCAGAGATGCCGTATCATGGAAGCTGGCGATTGGCTGGAAGATGACTTTTCCTTTGACGCAAGCCCCTTGTCCACATAGCACATGGGTGTGGGTCAATATTAAACCACCAGGCCCCAGGTTTTAATCCTGGGTTCCATTTACCCGGGTTCCATTTTGGGTATGCTTCGATGGGTCGACAGAAGAGGAAACCTTCAACCTGCTTGGACCTGAACCATTTGACTGGGAATCTTTGAGCACACCAGCCAGAACACACATTTTCCAGGGCGCTGACATTCAGATACATCCAATGCATTCTGAAGAAGGAAAACCTTTGGATTCCCCTACACTATGCGGGTATGAACAACTCGTTCCATTTGACAACTGCTGGCCCTGCGAAGAGTTCTTTTTGTCCCAATAAATCCTTGAATCAGCTGAAGTTTAGATGTTTTCAGCAGGTAATTGGTTGATCTTTGCAGCTTTTGAGAGATGCTCTCTGTGTGTATGCAGGGCCCATCGTATCCACCAGGGGTGTGCGTGGAGCTGGGGATTGGTGGCTTTGGGCTCTTGTGGTGATTGTTTTGGAAAGGCCAGCTTTGGTTCGGCTTGTCCAAAATAGGAATCGGATCCCTCTCAAAATCGAATTTGGAACCCCCAAAATTGTTGGCTTCCTTTTGGTTTCCCTTTGACACCACCCCAGAAAAGGACCAAAGCCCCCCTCCCCAGTTTTTGACACAGCTGAAAGCGAGGACCTCCGCTTCGAACGCGAGACCTCCTGGCACCCAGCTCGGTTCCCAGAAAGCTGATTGCCGTCGAACTCGATTAGGATTTGGACCCCCCGCAAAAAACGAAGGTGGTTTCCTTTTGGCTGCTCTTTAGAACCATGCGTTCTTGGGTTACCTCAAGCAGGACAGACCCATATGCATGGTAGGTTTGCTGGGCTGCTTGTTGACTATTGGCTTCTCAAATTCAGCCGCGGCACTCGTTTGACACTTTCTCAAGCAGATGCTACTAGGCGCTTTCATACATTTTGCATGTTCCTTATGACCAAAGGACGAAGGAAGCTCTGCAAGCTCAGCTTCAGACAATTCGATAGGCTGCTCCTCCCGTCCGTGCCTGGACCGTTCATGCTCTGTGTGTGTGTGGTGTGTGAAAAAGTAGGGCAATTTTTTCGGGACCCCAGTGTCGGTATGTGGGTACGGGTCAAAATAAAACCATCAGGGGACCGCAGGTTTTAGTCTTTGGTTCCATTTACCAGGGCAAGCCATTTTGGGTACGCATTTTTGACCCATAGCCAAGTGCCACCAAAACGGGCCAAGATTCTGACAGCCCTCCTAGTTCTCGGCTCGTGAGCTTCGACCTAGATATTGTCAATGCGCCCGATACCTGTTCGCATGGTGTGAAAGGTATGTCCACGTTAGCTGACCTGCACATTGGCCATGCGGACTCACACGTCTGGCCCAACCCAGTGATTGCCGAAGAAGCACGAAGCGCAGTGCAGCCATGCAAGACTTGAGGTGCCAGTCAAGCGCAAACAAGCATGACTGAAGCATTTTTCGGACTTCAAGCACCAGCATGCAAAGCTCTTTGAACATGCAAAGGTCGTAGCGCCAGTTTTTTTTTGCATCCCTCACAGGTTGTCTGACTCTAGCTCTGCTCCCATCGGCTCAGAGTTTGGCTTTTCGGGATTTGGCACATCGGCTTTGGGCTCGAATGGGTACCCCAAAAAAGGGGTTGGTTGCAAAGGACAGCACCAGGAAACCAGCCAGGCTGGGGGAATTCCACATCCCTATTTGGAGATACCAGAAAAAAAGATCCGCAAACGCAGTGTTCCGTTTCTCAAGATTCAAGCTCCGGAGCTGGGGCCTAGCATCTTGAAATGTGCCCATCTTGGCAACCTTGGTGATGAAAATGCCAAGGGGGAAAAACGGGTCACAGTGTCCTTGCGGAGCTTCTTTGGCCGAAATCTTTGAAAAGGGGTAGGTGCCAAGTGTGGACACGGGCCCAACACTGGCAATCCTTCGGCCCCCAAATGACCATGGGTAACTTTTCCGATTTAGTGGAACATATCATCTTTTTAGTGGTTTTCCGCAATGGCCATCCCATGCAAAGGATCTTCTGATCAACCCCCACATGCTTTCACAGACATTTTTCGCGGGCCCGGCTGCACCGGCATCCCCGGAGCTGGGTTGGCCGTATTTGTCTGCTGAGCATGACTTTGGTCTCGAAGCTGACTCCGCAATCAGCACCTTGCCGGCGATGTTTCCAAAGCCGAAAGCCTTTTTGTAGAGACTCGATTCAGGAACCGTTCCCTGTTGCAAAGTGTGTCTATCGGATGGTCCAAGGAAAAAACAAATCTGCGGTGTTTAATGGTCTGGTCTCATGCGTTCTGTACATGGTGTACGTGAGCCACAAGGTTCTAAGCAGGTGGGTAACATCTTGAGCACTGGGCATTGTCAGTTTTAGGTTTGAGTAAGTCTCAGAAAGGGCTACCGACTTGGAAAAGAGCCATGGCAGAAAGTATGTCCCATTGTAAAACACATCCCAATGCTCAAACTTATATACAATAAGCCAGCATGATTTTGAACGGTTACAAAGTGCCTGCCGTTTGCGAGAACAGGGCCGGAAACGAAGAACCAAAAGGACATCATTAATTAAACCTGTGGCGTCGCTTTATGCGAGAAAGCTCTCGCATGTAAGGTGAAGTTGGCGATGAGCGATGCGGAAGTCAAAGCGCTGCAGCTCAGTCCTGAGGAGCCCAGGCACGAGTTCGACGGGTCGATCACCCGGGCCTCAACGGCCGATTCGAGGGCCGATTCGAGGGGGTGCTTCGTGGGGCAATGGGCTGAGCGGAAGTATGCGAGCCCAGATCGGCGGCTCATGTTTGGTTTCAAACATATTTGCTTATGTTTGCATCTGTTTGCTTATGTTTGCTTATGTTTGCATCTGTTTGCATCTGTTTGCATCTGTTTGCATAATGCAAATAAAATTTGCATATATTTGCCTTTATTTGCATATATTGTATTTGCACATGTTTGCACATGGTTGCTTATGTTTGCGTATGTTTGCATGTACTTCGCAGCTGTGAGTTTTGGATGCAGCACTCTCAGATTAGTATCATGGTGTGCTCATGGTTTGCATCTGTTTTTTGTTTGAAAAGCATGCTGCAGTCAGGAGTTCACAGGTCCTTTCCCATTAAACAAACAGGCATCGAAGCTACTGGAGATAGTCATCCGAGAGCGTTCCCTTCACCACCTTTCAACATTAATTTTGAGCTGGGTACTAGATCACCGAATATTGCGTCTTAAATCTGAGAAAATGTTGAGAACGAAAGATAGGTCGGGAGAACGTACGTTTCACGGACATGGCGCATCCCAGCTGCGATGCTTGCCCTTACCAAAGAGCACAATGAGCAGAGGCTTTCGGAGAAAGTGCAGCTGATCGCACTACCGAGATGCGCTTCAGGAAGCATGTACAAGACACCCCGGAAACAAACGGGTACCTTTTTGCATTGATAAGATCCAGCTTTTAATTGGGATAGACACGTGTCGAAATGCATCTGTAGGAACAGGGCACCTGATCATATTTCCTGCCCTGAGCCAACCATTCAAACATGTTCAAACTACTTCCCACTTAGGCGGGAGTGAAGTTTTTTTTTTGTCAAAACGGATCAGGGAAGTGGAAGAGCACAGGGACTCGGCGAAGAAGCAGCCCAAGGAGAGAAGGGCCACTTGGTTTGTCAACGTTGGGCTGGCTTGGGCGTGTCTTTTCTTGAGGCTACCCCTTTTTCGTGGTGGTTTAAATGGAAACTAGATGCGAAACCGAAGCCATTCTGGGGGTCCCCAAAAAAGGCATACGCATTTGGGCCTGGTTGAATATTGGTTTGGTGCGACCTCAAGAACGAGTAAGGCG